AACAACAACAACTACAAAGCAACATGAAAAACTGGTATGTTCGTTAACTTTATGTTTACTATTACAAGAGAATGATATCATTTCCAAAAAATATCCCAAATTAAATCATTCAAAAGTATCATGCTTGAAGTAAACAAAAGATTGGTTGATGATCATGTTCATTCCGTTAATAACTATTTCCCCTAGTTCTATTTTGCTGTGTATTTGTTGAAAAAAAATGGGGAAATCACAAATCAGGTTTTCAAAACAAATTTTAAATTAACGATAAAACTTACAAATTTTAATAATTGAAGTTATAAGTTTTTCCATGAATTTATAATTTTTTTTTGGTCTTACCACTTAGTTATTAGCAATTTCCTCGAAAAAAGGTCTTTATTTCTTGATTTAGATCAAAGGACTCGGATAATTAGATGCTACTTACATGCCCAGTAAATAAGCCATGGATAATAAAATGTTGCTGGTTGATATATATATATATATATATGAAAAATTACAAAAAGAAAAAAAAAATTCAAAATTTGAGCCTTTTAACAAAATAAATTCTATTTTTTTTTAATTTATCAATTTAAAATCTAATCTTTTGATATGTTTTCAATATAAACTATTCACTTATTTTTGTTAAGTAAAAATATCGAAAAAAATATATTGTAGTCATTAATTCAATAAAAATACTTATTTTAGACATTTTTTGTACCTACATCAAGTTTAATGACTAAAATACATTTTTTCAAACAACTTTACTTAACAATAATAAGCAAATGAGTTAGATTAAAAACAAATCAAAATATTCGAATTTAACAAGACAATAAAAAATTTATTTTGTTATAAGATTCAAATTCTGAGATTATTTATTTATTTATTTATAATTTGCCAATATATATATATATATATAAGAAAACATGTCACATATTATAGCGTACCGACTTATTGGCAATGCAAATTCTATATCAAGTACCTGGCAAACGCATTGGTATGTAAGCGATAAGACAGACAAAGTAGATCTCCATTGCATTACTTGAATTGGATTCTTAAGCATAATGCACATGAATACATAATGGAAAATGTTCGGTAGCTCAAAATTTTATGGCTTAAATGGCTTAAATCTGTCAAAACGACGTCGTTTTACACTCAATTTACACTCAAAACGACATCGTTTTAAGTGATTTGAGCCATTTGAACTACAAAATTTTGAACTACCTAATATTATTGATACATAATATCACTTATAGAGTTGGCTTTTCAGAAAGATAACAAGCGTCGAGCCGGCAACAATATGCTAATAAGTGATTCTGCATTTTGCAAATCCACACAATCCACTCTACCATTAATATAGTTGCCTTAAGAACCCCCTTTTGTTTATTTATTTATTTTTTTTAAAGAAAAAAATGGCCTTGATGCTGATTTTTATTTGATTTTGGGAGATATGTTATAAAGAGGGACATAACAATTTGCTCAATAATCTATGTAATTGTCCCTTGGTATAGTTACATATTTGGCCACTTTCTTATTTTAGTCCTTAATTTCATGTTTCAAATTTTTTCAATTTACTCCTTAAACTAATTTCTGTTAAAAATTAGACAAATATGACACATTGACAGTCACATGACGTAAAAATATTTTATATTTTATTACACATAACTCACACTTCTTACCAAAACTCAAATCTCAATATAATAATATATTTTTTATATTATGTGACAATTTTCGTGACATTTTCTTTCTAATTTTGAACAGAAGTTAATTTAAGAACGAATTAGGAAAAACTTGAAACATAAGAGGTCAAAATGAGAAAAATAAGCTTTAAGGGCCAGAGTGAAAAACCGACCAAACATAAAAAGGCAAAGTGTAATTTACCGCTTGAGATAAGATAGTGACAAGGTTAGAGATATAACCATAGAATTAGAAAGTAATAAATTAAAGATAGAAAAATATCTCATAGAACCATGGCAAGTTTTAAAGAAAAATCACCATGCAATAAATTAAAAAGCAACATTGAAAAATCAAATGAAATTTAGAAGGTACAAATATAGAAACAATCTTATGGAAAGAATTAACACAAAAAACTCCCAAAGATAGCAACACAATTTATAAGGAATATATAACAAGGATAAATACCATGCATCAAATAAATTGCTCTCAGTAAATGAAAATAAAATACATGTAAATTTCTCCATATATATATACATGAAATATACATACTATTTTGCATGCCTAAAACTCAAAATTTGTTTCCCACAAATGTGTTACTACACTGGATTCAAAAGCTCCAGTTTCAATGGGTGGCCGTTCAGGGGGATTTAGAGGTGCAGAACAATTATATAGATATAACAGGAGCAATATACAGAAAACCTACAGAGTGGACTAACCGGGCGGGAGAGATGGGCTCTGTATACCGGTGGGAGTGTTAAAATCTTATTGGAAGAATATGAAGTTTCTATCCGTTATGCTATGAACTTGCAACGAAAATACAGACATGTTTTGACTTAGCCCTCAGCCTGGTATGCCATCCTTCATTGCAGAAATGTGTATCACTAACGGAAGATTAATAGGATTCCGCTGGGAGTCTGAGGAGAACGACAGTTTCATTATGGTATTGGTGTTCAAAGTTTTGCAATAATCAAGAAAAGAATCAGATTACATTCACTCATTATTTTAAATATTGTATTTCGAAGCATCTTAAAGCCATGTCTGAATAAAAAGTTTCTTCAACTTTCAAGAGAAAGTTCAAGCAGGATAACAAGTACTACTAAATAAAGATGGGTAATAAACTAGTAAAGCATCAACGATCACCTACTGGTTTTAGACAGGTTGTTTAGTGGGATGCTTCGAATAATGTTTAGCATACACATGCTCACCTCCTGAACATTAATTGAGTTTCTATAATCCTAATTCCTATTCTTGGCTAAAGAGGATGTGCACTCTGTAAGGTTTTCTGCATATTGGTAAAGCTGTTATATGATGTAAATTTGATGTCACAAATACCATTCGACAAGATAAACTTCAATACCCAACTCCCCCCCCCCGTAATAAAATTGAGGCAAAAAAAAAGCAAGATAAAATTCAATTGCAGACCTACCATTAAGATATTACCAGTAGTCCATGCACGAGCACGATCCATTCTCAAAATGATGAAAGCGTTTTCGGTCCCTTATGGTTATTTTTCGGTTATAAATCTTAGAAATAAGCTTTATTGAGGAGTGACAGTCATCACATATTCGTAGGTTTTTAACCACCCAAAGTGGTGTTTGGGGGGCCGTACTAATTAATCCAAAGGCAATTGCGATTTTCTCACTATGATAGATCAAGGTGCTTTCCTTCTCTTCATCTTCCATGTTAAGTAAGACTTGCGAAGTGTCTGGTCTATAACCAAGCAAACGCAATTGTCCTGACATCTCTTCCAACATCAAATGGATCTCTTTTGCTTTTGGATGGGAATCATCTTCCACAAGAAACTCATAAATAATTCCATCAAGCTCAATCCAGCTACATCCTGGATCTTTCCTTATGTCCATCTCCTTCATCATCAACCTCACCCCAGTAACAGCCTCCCAATTTCCTAAAGAGGCATACATATTTGATAATGCCACATAAGCTCCACTATCATGAGGAGCCATCTCCATTAGAAGCCTCGCTATGCGTTTGCCTATTTCAATGTTTCCATGTATCTTACAAGCACTAAGCAAGGCCTTCAATATTACATCATCCGGTTCAATAGGCATTTCCAAAATGAGTTTTTCGGCCTCTCCTAAAAGTCCGGCACGGCCTAATAGATCAACCATGCAACCATAATGTTCGATCCTAGGTTCTAAGCCAACTACCCTAACCATGTGATCAAAAATCAATCTACCCTCGTGCACTAACCCTCCATGGCTACATGCACTCAACAAAGCAATATATGTCACATCGCTTGGTGTCACTCTCGCTTGCTTCATCCTCCAGAAATGATCAAGTGCATCCTTTGCTTGACCGTGCATGGCAAGCCCGCTGATAATAGCATTCCAAGCGATTACATTCCTTTGCGGGAGGCTCTCAAAAACCTGAAGAGCCTTCTCAATGTTCCCACACTTAGAATACAAATCAATCAAAGCAGAACCAAGCACACCATCAATTTCAATCTTATTTTTCTCCACATACAAATGTACCCACTTACCCAATTCAAGTGCCCCGAGTCGTGATATTGCCGGAAGAACACTAACCAGAGTGACATAATTTGGGGACACGTCTTCCATTTGCATATCACGAAAGAGCTCTATTGCCTCCTTAAAGAACCCATTTTGTGCATACCCAGAAATCATTGAATTCCAAGACACCACACTTCTTTGAGGCATTTTATCAAACAGTCGCCTCGCAGCTTCGAAATCCCCGATTCTAACATACCCACCAATCATCACATTCCACAACACCACATTACTACACAATTGCCTTGATTTGAACAACAAATAGGCATCAATCATCACACAACACATAACATACATTCTCACAAGATTACTAACAACAAACTCATCAAAATCCAAACCATACTTTATAATCAAACCATGAACTTGCTTACCTTCTCGAATCCGACCCGTTCGAGCGCAAGCTTTGAGCACAGACGGAAAAGTGAAGCGATTGGGTTCGACAAACTCACACTGAACCAATTGACGGAACACAATTAAGGCCTCTATTGGGTCTTCGTCTGCATTGTCGTTGCTCTCGGAGAGTGCTCTGATGATGGTGTTCCAAGAAAAGCAATTGGGTTGGTCCATGTGGTGGAAGAGGAGGCGGGCGTAGCGGAGGTTGCGGTGGGGAGGGGGGGAGAGAGCGCAGAAGCGGAGGAGTTCGGCTGCGGCGATTGGGTTATGAATGCGGGCGGTTTTGATGAATTTGGCGTGGAATTGGTTCAAATCTCGCATGGTTTTGCATTGTTTGAGGTCTGGGAAGAACGTTGATGGGTGTGGTGGTGAACAAGCAGGGGTTGGCGTTGGGTTGGGTTTGGATATGGTTGAATTCATAGTAGTTGAACACAGGTTTCAAGAGAGAGAACTGAGTCTCGATATGGTTCAATCCATACCATAAAGGGTAAATTACAAATAGCCATGAGTTATGCTTAAAATATTGATTGTTTTGATTTAAAAAATTATAAATATCATTTTATTATAATTTTTTATTTAATAGAATTAATTAAAAAAATAAATTTATAATTGTTCTCTTATACAATAATAAAATTACTTAAATTATTAATTGAAACATATTTTTAACATCATTAAAAATGATTAATTGATTTGATGATTTATTAATAAATGGGCGATTTGTTATAAAATTAGAAACTTTAGGGGTGAAATGTAATTTTCAAAACTACAGGGGACGATTCGTATTTTAATCAAATCTCAAGAAGTGTAGTTGTAATTTACCCTACTATTATAAATATAAAAAGGGTAAAATTATAAATACACCACCTTAAAATTTGATTAAAATACGAATCACTTCCTGTAATTTTGAAAATTATATATTCCACTCTTGAGATTTATAAATTCATAACAAATCGTTCATTTTATTAATAAAATATTAAGTCAATTAATAATTTTTAATGATATTAGAAATATGTTTCAATTAATAATTTAGGTAGTTTTATTATTGTATAAGAGAGTTATTATAAATTTCATTTTTTTTAATTAATTCTGTTAAATAAAAAATTTCTAACAATGGGGGGTATTTGTAATTTTCTAAACTATGGGGAACAATCTGTATTTTAAACAAACTTCAGAGAGTATATTTGTAATTTATCTTACTAAAAAAACATAGCCGAGTGAAACATGAGGGACATAATTAGTGAGAGAGTATGGTCACGCAGTATTCCAAGTCTATTGTATAATTTTTTTAAAAGCACATCTGGTTGCCTTAATTTTCAAAATACATAATTTTACAACTCATAAACTCAAAATACAATTCATATTCACAAATCATATGTACAAAATTCTACCAAACGCAACCTAAATCTCTCACCAATAAAAAAAAAAAAAAAAATTTCACTTAACCGGTCGACCAACCGGTTGTCCCCGGCACAAATTTGATGAAAGTGCACCGTTGGAGCGAGTGGTATCAAATTGGTAAAATGAGTCATTTTTTACTCAAATTTGGTGAAAAATCTGAGTAACCGTTGGAGATGCTCTTATACAATAATAAAATTACTTAAATTATTAATTGAAACATATTTTTAACATCATTAAAAATGATTAATTGATTTGATGATTTATTAATAAATGGGCGATTTGTTATAAAATTAGAAACTTTAGGGGTGAAATGTAATTTTCAAAACTACAGGGGACGATTCGTATTTTAATCAAATCTCAAGAAGTGTAGTTGTAATTTACCCTACTATTATAAATATAAAAAGGGTAAAATTATAAATACACCACCTTAAAATTTGATTAAAATACGAATCATTTCCTGTAATTTTGAAAATTATATATTCCACTCTTGAGATTTATAAATTCATAACAAATCGTTCATTTTATTAATAAATCATTAAATCAATTAATAGTTTTTAATGATATTAGAAATATGTTTCAATTAATAATTTAGGTAGTTTTATTATTGTATAAGAGAGTTATTATAAATTTTATTTTTTTAATTAATTCTGTTAAATAAAAAATTTCTAACAATGGGGAGTATTTGTAATTTTCTAAACTATAGGGAACAATCTGTATTTTAAGCAAACTTCAGGGAGTATATTTGTAATTTATCTTACTAAAAAAAATACAGCTGAGTGGAACATGAGGGACATAATTAGTGAAGGAGTATGGTCACGTAGTATTCCAAGTCTATTGTATAATTTTTTAAAAAGCACATCTGTTTGCCTTAATTTTCAAAATATGTTTTGAAAACATTTCTAAAATTAGTTTAATGAAAATGAATGAAAAAATAAAAAAAAAATTATTTTCATATGATTTTTTTTGGATAAAAATATTTTGAAAAATTCAAAAATATTTTTTAATTATTTATTGTTATCAAATTATTTTTTAATTTTTTTTAAAAAAATTTAAAAACTCAACTAGATATATTTTTCATAAACTTTTCTCAGAAAATTTTAATTTATTCTCATTAACCTATCAGTTTAGAATAAAGATTGGGACCCCCTTTCCCCTCACCTCCTCTGACCCCCTTTCTTTTTTGATTAGTCACTTTTTTTTTTTTTCTTTTTTTTCTTCTCCTCCAATCACCACCCGCTACGTGTATGTGAGGGGGTGGTGGGCATTGAGTTTGAAGGGGTCTTAATCATTGCTGATCAGTTTATTAGTTTTTCTCAATTATCAATTTTAATAATTAATGCCTTCAATTATTGAAGTTATTTTTATTTTTTTCCTCAAATGGTTAATAACTTAACAATTTTGACAAAAAAATAAATAAATTACAAAGTCTCTTGAATTGTTACACTTTATGATTTTATAAATGAATTGTTATTTTAATAATTAACATCTTATTAAATCATTAACGTCATTGAAATTGTTGATATAAAATCATATGAGCTAATCATAAGTGATGGTGTTAAGGGGTAATGGAGAGAAAAAGAGACGCACTGCAATTAAAATTCGTCAACAACAATGAGATAATAATCACTCTATTTGATTTTTTGATTTTTGTTTTTCATGTTTTGTTGTTTCTTTAATAAATTATTATTATTATATTTTACTTTTTAAATACACTAATTTAAAGGCACTCAAGGAGACAGAGGAGATGGCGGAGGGGTGGTGGTGCGTAGAGGAAAGCAAAAGGGGTGGGGCCATTGTATGGCGAAGAGGATGCAGATGTGGGAAGGAATTGGGTGGCGCTGAAATAGGGTAGGAAGGTGAGGAAGAGAATGAAAGAGAGAGAAGAGACAAAAAAGTGGACAAAATAAAAGGAAAATATTATGCACCTCAGATAAATTATTAAATTTTTTATCAAACTTCTAATATGAGTGTGAGACCTACACAAATTACATGTTTATAAGTCTCACATTTATGTCAGAAGTTTGATAAAAAATTTAATAATTTATTTGAAATTCCTAGTATAACTCAAAATGAAAATGTCATCATGCTTTTGCAATTGTTGTTAATTTCTACATTTTTGCAGTTATTTTTCCTTCGTCCCATTTTTCTATTATGTCACTAATTTTTATTCATTTCAACTCATTTTCGTAACCCAAAGAAAAAAAAATGTTATATCTATATTATTATTAAGTGAAGGCTTAAATTAATTTAGTGAAATCTTCTTCTTCTCATGTCATGTGACAATTTTATATATACTAAAATAAAAAAAATATATATACATAACGTAAGTAAATTTTGAACACAAGACCTTGAGTTTTATTAAGAACATACGTATCACTTAAGTAATATATATATTATGATATTAAATTATTTTTTATTTATTTTTATTATTAGTTATCGAAATTATACACGTATCACTTGTGTGACTCGCTACTTTTTGTTAAGATTACCCTAGAAAATTCACAGGTTGGGTCAGGTACTCAGCGAGGCAGCTTAACTCAGCCCAAGCCTGTACATTCCAACCCAAGCGCCCAATACAAATATTGTATCATCACTAATCAGTGACCCAAACTCTAGATACATTTGGTGTCAATTGCCCAATGAAAGGCCCAAGCAATGAGGAGAAGCTCTAAGAGATTGATCCTAATCCAATGCTCTAAACAACTTTCCATTTTTTGTTTAATCAATTGGAGGGCCAAATCATTCATCCAATCTTGTGGCTGTAACTAGCCCAAACTATCAAACGATTATCATAATTTCTATTTCTTTTTCATACTATGAAATATAAATTAAATTTGAAAGGTATAGAGAATGCCTGCACATAAAGGAGAAGTCGAACCATATTTTAGTAAAGTGTAAGAGCGATGACTAACCAAGCTGTTTGTTATTTGATAGGATATAGGAAACTTGATTTACTCTTCTTATCCATAGATTATCTCAATGATAATTTTGGTAGGAGAGATAAGAAGAGAAATAAAGAGAAATTTTTTCATTTCTTCTCTCTCTTGCCATTTGTTTTTTCCTGTGTTTTATTCTTAATTTAGAATACAAAAGAAAGAAGAGTAAGAGTTTGGTTTGTTTGCACATTGGTGATATAAATTGTTTATTTTGTAATGAATTGAAAAAAAAATCAGATTGATCTAATATAATTTTATTTTATTATATTTGTTTTAAAAGAATTAGTGATATATATCTTTTACAAAAATGTTTCATGCCCCCTTTTTCCCCCACCCCCTTTGACCCCCTCTCTCTCTCATTGGTTACATTTTTTTTTTCTTTTTTTTTTCCTGCTCCTCCAATCACCACCCGCCACGTGTCTGTGGGGGGTTGTGGGGGTGGTGAATGGAGGAGGTCTCTATCATGGCTCTATCTTTTAACTCTAATATACTATGATTTAACTCATATCAATTATTTCTCTACTTGCATGCCTATAAAAAAAGAATCAATAACAAGATTGGATGAATGATTTGGCCCTCTAATATACTATGATTTTACTATTATTTTTTCAAAATAGGCAATAAATTTCCCTAATGGGGCCATCTTCTTGCTTTAGCCAAACTCCTTAGTACCTAATGGATCATATTCATGAATATTCAAATTCACAATTGATTGTACTTTTGCCGACATAAGTCTTCAATTTCATGAGTAATAACAAATACATTTGCATCAAATTAGCAAAAAAAGCAAGGTCAAAATTCCTCCCCAAAAAATACAAAAATAGGGGGTGCAACAATCCACTTGGGCACAAACTATACCTAATGAATATCATTTCGTCTTTAATTTTTTAATCAAACAAGTGGTGTTGACTCATTTTGGGCTTTTGTTTTGATCCTTTGATGTGGATACATGGATTAATATAATTAATTATCTTTACTCAAAAGCTACATGTTGGCCCAACAATCATTCTTGTTAGTTTCTCTTTGCCAATATATAAATCATCATTGGTTCTTGTCGATACATTCTCTCTCAACAACTTAGAAAAAATATTTTAAGAAGTAATTAAAATTTAAAATGTATAGATCAAATTAATTAGTATTAATTATACCATATAAAGTTTAG